CTTCCTGTATAAAGGTTTTGTGGGCCTGCGAGGCCGAGCTGATGTTAAAATTTTCATCTGGGTTGAGCAGCATGGGCAAGATTAGAAATGAGTCCATCAGAGTGACAGCTCAGAGTTAGAGACGCGAGGCTGAGATGGTTTGGAGAGGTGAAGAGGAGGGAGAGTGGATATTTTGCACAAAGGATGTAAAAAATGGAGCTGCCAGACAAGAAGGAAAAGAGGAAGATCTCAGAGAAGATTTGTGGATGCAGCGAAGGAGCAACATGTAGTGGGTTTGCAAAGAAAACCATCTCGACTTCTTTAAGTCCAGAAGTCCAGATGCTTTTCTTTGCAAGCTCCTTTGACTACGATGACCTGGATGACTGAGAACCTTCACAGACATGTAGTGGGTTAGTGAAACAGAAAAAGGATGCTGGCACAGGATGAGATGGAGGCAGATGATGCACTGTGGTGAACCCCAAAGGGAGCAAATTAAGAAGAAGAAATCAAATTAAATATAATGAACTCCGAAGTCTGCTCTTTGTCACATATTCTGAGAGGCAACCCTGTCTCTACCAGAGGAAGAGAGATAAATGGGTTAGCAAAGTATGTCAAGCTTAAAGTCAGAGGATCCACAAAGGTTGCTGTCTCTTTATGTGGCTGGATCACCACGGCAACCTGGTCTGAACGTGTAACTTTACCTTCAGCAGGTTCAGAGTTCGATTGTAAAATCGTCACGTTTTATTTATAATGTCCTCTAAGTGTAATATACAGTTAGGTTTTAGACAGTGACACTTTTTAAAATATATATATTGGGGGCTTTTCAGCCTTGATTGCAGTCGGACAGTGGAGAGAGAAAACGGGAAAGTTGGGAGAATGACCGGGAAGACGCACAGTTAATGGTCTCAGGGTAGATTGGAAATACATCATCCTCAAAAACCTCACTTTATTGTGGGTCCCACAGGGGTCCATTCTTGGCCCAGTCCTTTTTTCAATTTACATGCTCCCTATGGGTTCATTTTTTAAAAAACATGACATCTCTTTCCATTGTTATGCAGATGACTCACAGGTTTACCTGCCACTGAAACATGAATTTGTGAGTCCTCTGAAGGTTTCACTAGGTTGTTTGGAGGACGTTAAGGCATGGATGGCTTTAAACTTTCTTAACTTGAATGAAGAGAAAACAGAGGTGATTGTGTTTGGTCCCTGTGACCACTACTACACTAGCCCTTTAGAAATTTATTTAAAAAAAACCTTTGCAAAGATGAGTGATTTTTGTCTGTAATCTAACGTTTGATAAACAGATTAATGCTGTAATCAAGACGAGTTTCTTTCATCTCCAGCTACTTGCAAAAATGACGCCATTCCTCTGTTTCAGAGACTTTGAGAGAGATGTCGATGCCTTCATTTCATCTCGCCTCGACTTTTGTAGTAGTCTTTACTCGGGTGTCAGTCTGTCATCAGTTAGCCGTCTGCAGCTGGTCCAAAACGCTGCAGCACAGTTAATAACTGGCACACACAAGCGAGGCCACATATCTCCCATACTAGCATCCTTACACTGGTTGCCAGTTAGATTTCGAATGGATTTTAAGATTTTATTATTTGTTTTTTAAGGCGTTGCACAGGTTAGCACCCTCATACCTTTCTGATCTTTTAAATTGGTACACTCCTGCAAGCTCACTGAGGTCTGCGGATCAAATGCTCCTAGCTGTCCCGAGGTCCAGTTTAAAGCACAGAGGAGACCGGGCCTTTGCTGTGACTGCCCCCTTCACATCAGGACCTCCCCAACCTCAGACACTTTCAAAACCCGTCTGAAAACCCACTTTTATTCCTTGGCTTTTAAATCAGAATGAGTTTTACTACTTTTATTAGTCTTATTTACTCAAACGTTCTCGTTTTATCCTCCTTTTTCTTGTTTTTATTTCTTTTGATTATCTTAAATGTACGGCACCTTAGTCAACAGTGTTTTAAATGTGCTATATAAATACATTTGACTTTGACTTTGACTCGAATCTAGTCAGTCTTAGGTCAAGTGAAAGAGAAACTCTTTTTCACTGTTTGACTTAAAATCTCTTGGTGCGCAGAAGTACTTATGGACCTAACTATGGATCTTAAGCTCAGACATATTTAGTCTCTCACAAATAAATCCAGTCAATTGGACATGTGACCCCATTGTACAGAGTCGTGGTACACACTTGTATACTGCATATATATTTTGCACAAGTGATGAGTTAGTTACATTCATGCCTAAGGTTTGCCAATTGTAAGAAATACTAATATTAATGATTGATATTCATGTTTCAGGCAGCTGTATTCAAAAGTACAAAGCGGAGTGTCCGAAATAGAAAATCTTCGCCCTGATGAGCCCAGAGATGACATTTTTATGTCTCCCACACTGGTCAAATCAGAAGAATCAGCACAGATACACACCAGGAAAAGTCTGGGTAAAAGACGCACACGTTTGTTTGCCTTCATTTTAGACTATAAGCTTAAAAAAATGTAAATTTTTGGTAAAACAGTAAAATGTTACAAAACTGCATGAAATTGTAATTAAATTAATTTGTAACTGCATTATCTTTACCCCAGTTTTTCCAGTCGTGATAGTAGATGTGGTCTGGTAGCAGACAAATGCTTGTCCATGAAATGTTTGCTCCTTAAAATATTATTAAACTCCAGAGAATCTCTGCTAATGTTTTAAATATTAAATGTATGCATGATTTTGTTGTTTTAGTTTTCCCTTCAGAGGACGAGCAGGTCGAGCAGGACCAGAAGGACTCAGTCCTGCTCCACATTAAGGAGGAACAGGAGGAACTCTCGACCAGTCAGGATGGAGAGCAGCTTAATGGTCTACAGGAGGCTGATAACGCCACACTTCCATTCTCTCATGTTGTTGTGAAGAGTGAAGATGATGAAGAGAAACCTCCGTGCACACAGCTTCTTCATAGCCAAACCGAAGACAACGCAGAGGTAGAGAGGTGTCAAATTAGCTGCTCAACAAAAATAAAAACAGAAACTGACAGAGAGGACAGTGAAGGAGCAGAGCCAGCTGGAAACCCGGAGTCAAATAACCTGTTGCAGCAAAACACTGATGCAAAGACTTTTACCTCTGGTGAAACTGAAGTCAGTATTGGTGCTGATGATGAGGATGATGACACAGATGATTGGCAGGAGCCTTTGTCGGATTCTGGATCTGAAACTGAAGAAAGTGACAGTGACTGTAAGAAGGGCAGGGCAAAAGCCTTCATCTGCTCTGAGTGTGGTAAACGGTTTCAGTACAAGTGGTCTCTTCAGAGACACGTGACACGCCATTCAGGAAAAGCCTCTTTGGGCAGCTTCACCAATAAGAAATGTTTTCCAGTGAAGCAAACTGCAGATTTACAGATCAAAGTCCACACAGGAGAGAAACCATTTGGCTGCAGTCTTTGTGAACAAAGGTTTAGAGATCAGTATAATCTTAAAAGGCACATGAGAATCCACACAGGAGAGAAACCGTTTGGCTGTGGCATTTGTGGTAAAAGGTTTAATGGCGAGGGAAATCTGAAAATACACAAAAGAGTTCACACGGGAGAAAAACCATTTGGATGTGGTGTTTGTGGTAGAAAATTTAAGCAGAAGTCACATTTTAAGAAACACATCATGGTTCACACTGAAGAAAGACCTTTTAGTTGTGATGTGTGTGGGAAAGGATTTAAATGGAGGATCCACATGAAGACTCACAGGAGAATCCACACAGATGAGAAACTGTTTGGTTGTGACGTTTGTGGTCGAAGATATAACTGTGAAAGAAATCTTAAGATACACATGAGAGGCCACTCAGACGAAAGACCGTTCGGTTGTGACATTTGTGGTAGGAGGTTTAACTGCAACAGAAATCTTAAGATACACAAGAAGGTCCACACGGGGGAGAGACCATTCGCCTGCGGTGTTTGTGGTAAGAGGTTTTCACAGGTAGGGGCTCGGAACAGGCACAGGAGCGTCCACACTGAAGAGAAACCATTTGCTTGTGATTTGTGTGGACAGAAATTTAACCGAGA